TAGAAGGTCGTGCCACTCAAGCCATTCCATGGAGCATAGCAAGCCATACACAGCACCAGCAAGAAATTCTTGTAGAAAGAATAGCCTCAAGAAAGAATAGCTCTGACCAACTACGTTGAACGGATCGTTTTGGGGCAACCCACTCGCTTTGCACACCGTAAATTCAAGCACGTCAACACCAATCCACAGAGTAAGGGTCATGACATGGCAGCATAAATCTTGGTGAGCTTGAGATAACACTCCCCTCCAGCATGCGCTGGCAACAATCCCAATCCCAACATTAATAAATTATTGTATATATAATTAATCTGTAGTCTATAGTTATATAATGGCTCCATTCGCCCTCTTGTTATACTTTAAGACCTCGCTTGCAAGCTAGGCGCCAATGACCATGCCAATTCGTCGAATGTTGCTCCGGCCGTGCAAGAAAATGAGAGACCTTGCAGTGGGAGGCAAAAGTCTCTGACCTACGAAGTATTGACAGCATCAGCCCTTTGACATATCATCTCCCATTTCAATAAACCCAAAATGTTTCGTTTTGCGGCTGCTTGTTGTTGCCCCTTTAGTCAGTTTTCATACACTCACATGACCCATGATATCACTGCTTACGGAAGGACCTGCAAGTGTACAAAGCACCAAGAGTCTAGTGCAGGTCTGGGCTGCCATCCCGCCCAGGCCAATTACAAACAATCCATCCAGAAACTGCCATAGGCGCTGGCTCACTGCAATGTTTACTTGGCAAACACCAAGCAAATTGGACTGTCCATGAGTATCTGTGAGTCCTATAGTCGCATATAGTCGCAAACACGTGGTTTCCCAAAGCTCCTTCTCAAACCCAAACTAACAAATACACACCAAGCGCGATTTCAATCATCTCAACCGATCAGGACCAAGCTACCGTAAAAAACGAAACTGTGCAATGGCAAAGTCGGAGGCATTAACAGCTTCACGACCCTCAGCTCCAGCAATGCCCACGCCAACGTGTGCCTTTTGGATCCTTGGTGGCGAGATATGACACCATGTGCACACCCAGACCAAATCCAAGCGACATGCTCACGTCATTGCCACCATCACCAACTGCCAGGGTCAAAGGGTTGCCTTGCAATGTCAGGAAATATTGCTGAACGTCGAATTATGGACATTACAAAGTGTATGATTCAGATCAAATACCTGCTGAATGGTCCAATTCTTACATCATCCGCAGCAGCCTAGCACAGCCCTTCTGGAGCAATTTCTGTAGTGGGCGGCATGCCCACAACCATGCGGCCAATTCAGCAACGCTCCGTCTCATTGTATCAAGCTGCAATTCAAGGATGGTCTTGATTTTATAGGAAACTGTACCCCTTGCAAGAAATCATAGGAGGGTCGGTAGCTAGAGTTGCGCAAACAATTCCATCACTCTGGTCCAGGAATTGTCCACAACATTCCACAACAAGACACAAAAAGGAAAAAACATATCCACGACACATCTGAAGGAACTTACATGAAAACACTTGTTATGATTCCATCTATTCTATCACATTCTGCAATTCAGGTCTTAGATTAAATGTTCAACCAAACATTTCCGTCATACCCTTGGATGAATCGGTTGTCCACCGATGCCCTTCTCGGACCGCTGAACCAGCCTGGCACTTCCTTGCGGATCAATTCAACGATGCCTGCTTTTTGTGCTGGTGACAGCCTGCACGCAATGACCTGCACATGTCACGCAAAGTCAACACTTTTTTGGCCAAATAAAATGGACACCCACCCTGACAACGCAAGCTGCGCAGCTTTCGCGACTAGTCGTGCCAAAGTGCGGAGCAGGAGTTGCAGGCCACCGTGACGAAAAGACGCTGAAGCAAAACTTCAGAATCCTTGGCATGCTTTAATCAGATTCATCCTTTCCTGGTTGCAATGTATAGTCATCCTGGAGGAGACAGAACATGAAGAAATCAAGGAAAAAGGTAATGTTTTTGGATTGGTTCATACCCTTTTCCACTCCAGGATGTTCCAGGACGGATGGTTGTACAGTTGTACATCTTTGGATGTCTTCGGGCTTGCCGGTTGCAACAAAATTTCCAGCGAAGCATGTTCTTGGATTTGCTGAAGGAACCTGGAAGAAAAACAAGTATATATATGACTATTCTCCAGAAAGGATTCACCCATATGGAAAATATTGAAAAACAAAAAATCACCATATATAAGCAAAACCAAATGTTTGATAGTGTTTGCATGTCACATCATGAACGAAGGCACGATGGATCCAAACACAAAAATAAGGTTGCACCATTTTTGCCACAACGAGCAGCTTTGTTCTGAAAATGGTGAACAACAAGCAGTACCAAAAAAACAGCACGCCTCATCACACCTGAAAATGCCAACTGCATGCAAGCAAACATAGCTCCAATTCATGTGATGTTGCGCATCAACCAGCCCACTTGACGCTCAAGCTGGTTCCGCATGGCTCCGCTGTTTCACGTTTTGCAGGACTTGGCTCGTCCAGAATCGCGTAGAGGGCAGTTCCGTTGATGACTAAGCCTTGGGCGCCCGAGTGTGCCGCGTTGACGCGAAGGATTCATGCAATGTATCTAGAAGAAATAACGTAATATATCATATGTATAACCTTTCCCTTCCACAAAAACCATGCCACCCGAATGCATGGTCGCAGGTCCTGTCATGTTCTGTCTATGTTTGATTTCGATTGGAAATGATTGGAGCAGTGCTTGTAGTGTGCCTAGTTTTTGGCGGACACCTCTTATGCCAACGAGCAACTAAAGCTGAATGTCTTATCTTCACTAATCTCCACATTTTTGACGATGTCATCCACAATGGTCCTGTGTGAACTTGGCTGGAGGCGACATGGATGAGTCAACATCGACACAACTAGGACAGTGCAGCAACAGTCAACAGTTCTTGAGTTGGAGGAAGTCCAGTGGTAAGCATCTGTTTTGGAAGCCCTGAATGAATCATTTCATCATTGACATTCATTGACTAGTGAATCCTTTCATCATTATTTTTTAGATACGAATATTAAACTTTATGCATATCGCCACTTGCCTTGACGCAGCACAGTTGTTGACAATCATGATGCCCAAACAGCGATTGTGATCAATAAGACTGCGATGTTGACAGAACAGGCCATCTGAATGACAGAGCAACCCCGTTGCGATAAGTCTATCTATTTGTGAACCGCCCGGATTGGAACCCATGTGCCCTCTGAGAACAGCGTTCAGAACTGCGCAAAAAACGAACATCGTCGTCGCTGTCCTCAGCCTGCTCTGTAGCTCTGTTTTCAGCTCAGGGGTCTCCTGGTCATTTTCAGCTCAGGCATCTCTACTAGGTGGAGGCCATCGCTATTAGGTAGGCGGCCATCGCTATTAGGTTGGAAACCATCCCTAGTAGGTTGGAGGCCACCCCTAGCAGGTTGGAGCCCTTCCCTATTAGGGTGGAGGCCATCGCTACCAGGGTGGAGGCCATCACTACTAGGAACAAGAAGCTAATGTAAAGACCTGATTAAGAACCCACCCCCCACATGGTAGGTCAACAAGGTCAAAGATACGAGATACCATTCATGAGGTGGTAGTAGTAGTAGTAGTAGCAGTAGTAGTAGCAGCAGCAGTAGTAGTAGTTCTAGTATCAGTAGTAGTAGTAGTAGAAGAAGTAGTAGTAGTAGTAGCAGCAGTAGCAGTGGTAGTAGAGTAGTAGTAGTGATAGTGGTACTACTAGTAGTAGTAGTAGTAGCAGCAGCAGCAGCAGCAGTATTTGTTGTAGTGGTAGTATTGGTGGTAGTCCTACTCGTAGTGGTAATTGTAGTAGTCGTAGAAGTAGTAGGAGGATGAGGAGGAGGAGCACCCAGTGACACAGGATCAAGTCAATAAGGGGTAGTAGTGCAAATTATTGAGGGGGGACCGGGCCTTGTGAGGGGTACCCTTTGTGAGCTTCAAAAACGATTGCTTTTTGGTTTTAAAGAAATTTGTAGGCACTGAGCCCTGGACCTTTTTTTTGGGGGGGAGATTTTCATCAGAAAATCAGTAGTAGGTAGTAAGTAGTACGTAGTAGGTAGTGCGTAGTACGTGGTACGTAGTAGGTAGCAGTAGCAATAGCAGTAGCAATAGCAGTAGCAGTAGCAGCAGTGGCAGTAGCAGCAGTAGTAGTAGTCGCAGCAGCAGCAGCAGCAGCAGCAGGAGCAGCAGCAGGAGTAGTAGTAGTAGTAGTAGTAGTAGTAGTAGTAGTAAGAAAAAACTACCTAGTTACTAGTTACTTGTGTTACTTGTGGACTCGGATTAACTGGGGGGGGGTTCTGGCACCCAACTAGACAATTAGGGGGAAAATTAGCCACCAATCCTACTTTTAATTTGGGCAATTTCCAGGGGCTTTGTGGGCTCGGCTTAACTAGGTGAGGCTTATTCTTCAACCCATCCGCGATGCCCAACGGACCAGTCCAGCATAACCTTCCACAAGAGCGGTCCTCAAAAGTGAGGTAGTACATCGTGCACTGCTTTTCCACAAGTCGGCAAATAGTTGCCATATTCACAGCTGTCTCCACTGAATCACCTCAAGCTTTTGAGCAGGAAAAGTTTCCAATTGTTTGGATTTCCTGATCCACCAGCGTGGCGCTTGGGCCACGGCTACTATCACAGTGATGCTGAATTCACTACAGCTTGCGGTCATTGACTACGGAAAGATTTAGTGGCCCCTAGTAGCGTCCTTGCTCCTAGTAGCGATGCCAGGAGCCCCTAGTAGCGTCCTTGCTCCTAGTAGTAAGGCCAGGAGCCCCTAGTAGCAAGGACGCTACTGAGTTCACACCTTTGCGGCTCAAGCAACAGACTTTGAATGGACATGATCGCCGGCCTGTCAGCATCCAAACTCGAATTCCACCAGCAAGGAGCATCTTCACCTGCACCAAGGAAAACCAGGGGTCTGGCTGGATTTGCTGTCTCTCTCCTGATGTTGCTGGAGCACTCAACTGAGACTCCATCGTACTCTCCATCGTATCTATTCTCAGAAACGGCCCGTTTCTATGAAACAAACCCTGTGGCCAACAATTGTGCGGCATTATCATTGTGATATCTCAGCCAGTAAGCATGAGACACACAAGACCGCCCTGCTGCGTCATGTAAGGTGTAAGGAACAAAAGAAGGTTGCACCGTCTCGGGAACGCCAATCTGAATCTTGTCTTCGACCGCTGTAATGCCAAGCAAGTCAAAGTCTTTCTCCATCTCGTTGACGACCTTACTCACAGAATCTCACAAAACAGCCCAACCAACCACTTGAGATAGTACGTTTTTCCGCGGAACAAAAATCAAGCCATTCCACACAATTGCAACATGTATTGCCCTGTGACAAACACGCCGTGCCAAAACCCATGTCAACGTCATTTAAGCAGGCAAAGGTGGCCACTGTTATTTTGGCTGATGCCTCGTCTGCACAACGCCCCTTTGAAAGCAAGCTCCTGGCCGTCATTCTCGCAAGAGCACCCCGGCTTGCGCTGTGATCTACAGGCGTCATGTGCGCGATTGTGCAGCATTTGTTTTCCCCCTTCAGGAACTGTGAATTAGTACGAGGACCTTGTCTGTACAGTTGTCCTGTTCAAAAGTCTTGGCTAGTGCAGCCAAGATTGAGCAAATACGCAAATTAGGTTTTATGGGAATACTGATTGGGCTGCAGATCCGGCCACGGCTGCCAGTGCCAAAGCAAAACTTGTTTCTGGCTCCTCCGAGGACTTCACTGAATTGCAGGAGCCACATGTCCGAGAGACACATGAACGGCAGGCCCTGCTGTTGGCATCACCTGCGCAAAAATCCAAGCAATTCCCAACAGTACACTGAATCTTCTTCCCGATGCAGCTGGCACAGAAGGCGGCGACGCCCTTCCCCTCCAAACAAGTTGCTGAACATTGTGCCCGGTCTGCATTTGAGTAGCACTGAGTACCGCAAGTTTTCATCAGATCCTGGCTCTCATAGCAAGCAGCACTACGAGTTGTCCCTGGTGTGACCATGAAGCCCCGATGAGAGGAATCAGACGAATTAGATTTGGCAGCTGTGGTCAAAAGCGTCTTGAAGGACATGATGTTGTCCGTGATGTCATCAATGGAGCACCCGATGCTGCAAGCACTGCCAGACGAACCGCAGGTTGCCCCGGCTGCGGCGACACATGATACGCATTCCGTTGCGCTGAGGTTGGCACCACAAACGCCTTTGCACGTGTTCGCATAGCATGCTGCCTGCCCTCCAAGACATGCCAAACAGCTCAGGGGGTCAGCCCCGGCATGTGCCATGGAAAGGCCGCAAAGCACCAATAGAAACCCAAGCATTGCGCTAGCAAGTATCAGTGACTACTGCACCTACTGTACGTTGTTGTAGACGTCGGCTCGAGACAAATGTTGCAAGTCGAGTCAAGAATGCAAATGCAACAACATGAAAACAACATTTAACTTATATAATCCCAGAACAACATGACCCGGTACCCGCGACTCGTTTGCTGGTTGTCCTCAAGTTGCAGAAACTTGCAGCTTTGATCAATGCAGCCATGTTTGCGTCAGCCCACACCCGCACCGAACTGCAAGCGAGAAACCTCTGCCACTTTTTCATCACCTGAACCAGTCTTGTGCCAGGGACAACGCTAATAAAATCTAATCAACACCAACAAAGCAAAACACCAGAATTCTTTTGTCGAGGAACCTTTGCCTTAGGCTGCCGGCACTGTCGCTCTGGAACCTTGTCCAGCCAAGTTGCGTTTGAAGAAGGATCGCGTTGCTGCTCCGTGTTCGTGGATGAGGCGTTCAGCTTCTGCATCAGGAATCCTTATGACAATCGACATCTACCACTTTGATACCAAATCATTGCTGAACTCTTGCTTTGCATATGGTCCATGTGTTGAAGCTTCAATGAGTGCCATCTTTGTTATCCATTCATGTTTTGGATCCACAGAGACGACATTTGGCTGGAACTAAAACAAGCCCGCCCGCGCGTGTGATGCGGATCGGATTCGGCGAGCTACCGATGTTTCAACACATAGTATATGACAACCAGAGTGTGGGAAACTCAGGCCCTCCCACCCTCCTATACAC